CTTCATCACTATGATGCTGTAACTCAGAGGTGATGAAGGTGACCCAGTGATCAAAGAATAAAGACACTTTACCCACAATTTAGGTGTATTTTCCCTTTAACTGACGAGATGCATTTATACTTAATGTGAATATAATTCATACTTTCTTATCTTATTCTGAAAACCGGATGTTCGTCTGAAGAAACCGGATGTTGTATCACATTAATCTTTCCGCTAACTTTCTTAGTTCATTCTTGAGGCTCATACATGCCGTCATTCGTTCCGATCCTAAAGGTGCGTTCACACCAAACGCCACGCCAATACTAATCTGCTGCAGTTTGTCTCCACTTCTGTGGCTTTTGTTAGCTTGTCTTGCTTTTGTTTATCTATACTTCTCCCACACGCTGCATCAGACTTCCTCAGACTTCCTCCACTGCTGTCAGTGAGCAACGGACTTTCAAAATAAAAATAAAATTTAAAAAAATGCGTTAACGCCAATAAAATAATTGTCGGCGTTAATTAATTAATGCGTTAACGCGATAATAACGCGTTAACTTGCCCAGCACTAGTTTTTATGTTTGTTAAATTCTCAGTAGCGATAACTAAATTATGCTTATACATATTACAAACAAAACACTTTAAAAACTCGACAATATGTATTTTAATATTGTCACTGTTGTAAATTGTTTGATTGCATGATTTACTTTTATTGTGAAGAGCATGAAACCGGTAGTGCTTTTACTTTGAAGAGACAGGAAGTAGAATGGTACGTGTTCTTGACGCTAACAATGTTGATGAAACGTAGAAAACCACATGTCGGGTGCAAGAGCACTTTGTGTTCACTGTAACACTAACACTGTAATACTGCAGTTCAGACAGTAAAGTGTTCCATTCAAACAAGACGTGTCTTGTTCCTCACTGGAAGCTCCACTTCACAACAGTCACGTTTGATCTGGTGTGTGTGTGTGAGTGAGTGACGGTGACAGAGTGTAGGAGGGGTTCTGGACCCGGGGGGAAGAAGAAAGTGACGCCACACAAACAGCTGTTCACCACTCGCTGCCCGGTTCTTGTTAAAAATGTCTGTTTAATAATAAATAAAAAAACTGCATTAATGCGCGATAATATAATTTTCGGTGTTAATTAATGAATGCGTTAACGAGATAATAACGTGTTAACTTGCCCAGCACTAATTTATAATTATTGTTCTTTGAGTGGACCGACCTAAAGTCTTTGTCCTCAATCAAATGTCCTGGTTAGCCTTTAATCATATTAGTCATCCTCCCTGTATGTTTGGTCAAGTTTTAGTAGAAAGTGGCCATTTTAGGATCATCTCAGTGGAAGAAAACCATCATCAGATTATATTGAACATGGTGTCTATTGTTGTTGTTGACGACTTGAAGTTAACGGTGGAGTGTTTCTTCTCTTCATACGTCTTTATACATTTCTCTATATGCACCAGAACTAAACACCCTTACAGCTGATTGGCTGGAATAGTGTTATGTAGCTCGGTTTGAGCCACTTTGGGCTGCGCTCATCAGCGTCTTCAAAGTTTGTACAGAGTTGAGTTGGAGCTAACAGCTTAGCACATGAGCTGCTTTTCCCCCGAGGGAATCCAAACCATCTCATTGGTTGTCGCTATCACACATTAAAGGAAACAAACACAAAGTAGAACCTTTCTCGCTATGTGTCTTCAGGTGCGTGAGGCGCTGCAAGACGTACCTGAGCAGGTGGAGGAGTTTGTGTCTCTGCTGAGCGATTTTGAGCAGGTGGGAGACGGTCAGGAAGTGATGTTGTTGTTCAGGAAGCTGCACTGCATCCTGGGAGAGCGGACAGACCTCCTCCGGGACTTTGCCGCATTCCTACATCCTGAGCAGGCACTGCAGTGTGGACTGGTGAGCAGTACAGGTGTATCACGGGTGTATTGTATCACAAGTATAATATGGGTGTATCACAAATGTATCACAGGTGTATCGCGGGTGTAATACGGGTGTGATACGGGTGTATCACGGGTGTAATACGGGTGTATCACGGGTGTATCACTAGTATCATACGGGTGTATCACAGCGGGTGTATCACAGCAAGTGTTTGTAAGAAGTCCACAGTAACTGGTTCAACCTGCTGAAATGTTTCCTGTGAATAAATCCTGACTGAAGGCAGTGAACATCATAACTTTAGTATTTCTGTATAATTGATAGATACGTTATTGATTACTTATAAGCAGTCACTGATGTAACTCTGTCCCGACTGCAGGTTGAAGAGCAGCAGGCGTTTGAACGCAGCCGTCGCTTCCTGCGACAGTTAGAGATTAGTTTTGGAGATAATCCGTCACATTATCAGAAGATCATCAAAGCTCTGCAGACCGGTCCAGACCTGAGTCCAACCAGCATCGACGAGGTACGCCCACAGTACAGTACCAGTTGAACCATTATCAATAACTGTACAGTACCAGTTAAACCATCGTCGATAACTATACAGCACCAGTTAAACCATCGTCAATAACTGATTATTGATGATAATGATCATTGTACTTTAGCTAAAGGTTCAAATGGCGACGCTGCTAAAAGGCCACACCCATCTACAAGCTGAATTCTGGGTATTTTTTGACGAGCTCCGCCCACCTCCTGCTCGCCCGGGGCAGTTTGAAGAAGCCCATTGGCCGGATGAAGGAGGGGGCGGGTCAGACGGTGGAGAGGGCGTCGGCCTCGTGTCAGGGGGCCTGACCGGCAGCGGCTTCGAGGAAGTGACGCTCCCAGAGCTCGAAGAGGAAGAGGAGGGACTTAAGATCCAACCAATGACAAGCCAGCGCCGGAGGAGGAAGATGGCCCCCCACAGGGACTACAAGGTAACACACGTGGAGGGGTACCTTTAGTGGGCTTTCACTCATGGACTTCTTCTATAAAGACTGGTACGTGTGCTCCAGGACTGTGATTGGTCGGATAAAGACTGTTACATGTGTTCCAGGACTGTGATTGGTCGGATAAAGACTGTTACATGTGTTCCAGGACTGTGATTGGTCGGATAAAGACTGGCCTTGCCTTTGCCGTGACGCTAAGATCCGTGGACACAGGAGGAAAGAATGCTCTCGCTGCCACGGCAACAAGGTCTGTCCTCCACGTTTCAACAGGTGTGAATATGAGACAGGTAGAGAGCCTCACCTGACCTGTCTCACCTGTTCAATATCCCATCCAGGTCTCAGGGGGCGTATCCAGAGCCATGAAGAGTCTGGACCCTCTGTACTCTCAGATAAGCTCCGCCCACGACGAACCAGGTAACAAAGACCTGGATCTGAAGGGGGACGACGATAGTCCACAGACAGGTGCGTAGGTGCGTGCGTGCGTTAGTTACGCATAACTAAATGTGTTGATTCTGTCGACAGAACGAAGTGGTGCATCATGGGAAGGCTCGTTCCCTCTCATCGACGAGAAGGAGGAGGAGCTGGATGACGAAGAGGAGGATGACAATGAAGAGGAGAAGACCATCGAGAAGAAGAAGAGTCCGACGGTGAAGAGGAGCAGGAGAGAGGAGATGATGGGGGATGGCAGCGCCTTCTCCATTCTCCCGACTCCTCCCTCTGTTACCTCCTCTAACCCCTCCTCCTCTACCACCTCCTCCATGATCCCCTCTATGACCTCCACCACCACCACCACCCCCTCTATGACCTCCTCCACCACCACCCCCTCCACCAACTCTATGACCTCCTCCACCACCACCTCCTCTATGACCTCCTCCACCGCCACCTCCTCTATGACCTCCACCACCTCCATGGTCCCCTCTATGACCTCCTCTACCACCTCCTTCATGGTCCCCTCTATGAACTCCTCTACCACCTCCTCGGTCCCCTATATGACCTCCTCCACCATCTCCTCCATCATCCCCTCTATGAACTCCTCCTCTACCACCTCCTCCATGATCTCCACTCCTTCGATCTCTTCCTCCATCTTCCCTTCTACCTCAGCTACCTCCTCTATCACATCTCCTATTTGCTCCTCCTCCATTACCACTTCCTCAATCTCCCCCTCTGTCTGCTCCTCCTCTGTTCCTCCTCGGCCAAGTCCTCCTCCTGACCTCCCGGTATGTGCCAAGAACATTTCCCTGACGGCAAGCGGAGAGAAAGTTATCCTCTGGACCAGGTACGCCTCCTACTGCACCTCCTCTTGAGGGGGTCTATTTAATGTCCCTCCTCTGGCCTCCTCCTCTGTCCTCCTCCTCTGTCCTCTTCCTCTTCAGGAGGAGCAGCAGGAGGAACAGATTGAATTTAACCCTGTTGTCGTCGTCGCCGGTTTTCAGAGAAGCCGATCGAGTGATTCTGACGATGTGTCAGCAGGAAGGAGCCAATCAGAACACGTTCCAGGCCGTCTCTACTCTGCTCGGCAACAAGACTCCGAGCGAGGTGATTGGTTGCTTTCTGTCCTCTGTGATTGGTTGACTGACCGGGTCAGTAACTCTTCCTCACACCTGCAGGTTTCTCGACGGTTTCGAGATTTAATGCGTTTGTTTCGGACGGCGGCTCGACAGACCAGCTCCGAGGACGAGGCTCCGCCCACTCAGCCGACAGCAGCCAATGAGGAAGAAGACTGATACTAACCAATCAGAAGAGCTAGCAGGTTTTTTTGTTTGATATTCCCAGGACTTTTATTGTGAAAGGACTCACACAGATGCTTTTACTGTACATAATAAAATGTAAATATGAAAATATCAGATTATTTAATGTTTTTGTAAAAAAGGTGAGTTTTCTTTTCTTCAATAAAACTTTTTCTCATCAAAGTCTGTTTCACAGTTTGTAGTTTATCTGATGACACAATAAAGACAAACACAGAATAACTAACTCTTAATAGTGCCACAAAACCTAAAACACAATAGAATATACAATAAAATGTGTAAAACTAAAGATGTAAAAATCATCAAACTGACGCACATAGAGATAAAGTCTATCAGGACATGAAACCCTTCAGCGAAACTAAACTCTTTAAACCACCGGGGGGGGGGGGTCATTGCTGTGCTCTCTCTCCAGTTTCAGGGTCGATGTCGTCGTCCAGATCTAAGAAGAAACAAAGATCTCTGTTTATTGGTACGTAGTCACCTGATAGAAATGAAGAGTCAACAATCTGTCTCACCCATAAAGTCGTCAGCTCTGTCCTCTGGGTTCTGCTGGTTCTGCTGGTTCTCCTCCATGACAACACCTTTAGGCCAAAGCAGTAGAATGAGCCCTCTGGTTCAAGCTGTAACAGTGTTTCTGGTTATACTGGACACTCACCTGCAGCTGCCTCTGATTGGTGGTGAGAACGGACACTGTGGCACCTGGAGGGAGGTGGGAGGGGTTTCGTGTAGACACTGCTCATTGGCTGGTCGCCGGTAGGCGGGCCTTCTTTGTTGTTCCAGTACAAACCAATGGGAGAGGGTTTTGCTGACGACACATCTGTAAAAGAAGAAAACAGGAAGTGATGAAAGGTTAGGGTTTCAATTGTGACCTTACTGCACATACTTTACTGCTCCACAATGCATTGCGTCTGGGTGCCTTTCTCTGCAGTTTGGCTTTGAGGTGCTGCACCTATTGATGATGTCACACGTTGTGATTGGTCGTATGTGGTAGAGAACCCGCCCCTACTCTGCCTTCTGATTGGATATACCCCTTTTTTGGTGTTGCTAACATTAGCCTAGCTATGATGCTTACCGGCACTACGAACTAGACGGCCTTTGTTCCCGTAGTCTGAGGGTTGGGCGTTTTGTCTGTTTTTTAATCAACCAGTGAACAGGAAGTGACCATATCTGGACTGAGGAGGAGTGACGTAGACGCCGTATACGTCTCTGGTAGAGACCTGTCAATCACCGTGTAGCCCCGCCCTAAAGCATCCCCTGCTTTATGGTCTGTTTGACTCTAAATGGACCATAATGTACTAAATCAGTGGTTCTCAAACTTTTTCTGTCACACCCCACTTGACAGAAAATTGCAATCACTTTCAAGTAAACCAGATTGCTCCATCAGACAAAAACAAATACAATGTGCATCACTTTGTTAGAACAATGCAAATAAAGTTCAATCTGTGCAAAAAATTACTAATATTTGGCAAAAAATTGCTTATTGTGGCTGCAAGTCACCTGTTTTGCACTGAATATCTTTCTAAGATAATAACAATAAAGTGCAACCTGTGTCAAACTAAACAAAATGAGCATTTTATTTTATATATGAGCTTTAAAATGTAGCATTCTAAAAGTCAAATAATAGCTGTGATAATAATAATAGCTGCACGTGGGCCTGTTGGTCCACTGGCTGTGGTCATCACAGTGAACAGTGTGATGAGAGGACATGTGAGCCCTTGTTGCTGTAGTTCATCTCATGGTGCAGAGGCTACATTTAGCATAGCCATAGCAGTATCTGGGCCTCATCATCTCATCAGTATCTGGACCTCATCATCTCATCAGTATCTGGGCCTCATCATCTCATCAGTATCTGGACCTCATCATCTCATCAGTATCTGGGCCTCATATTTCGTGGTCATGAAAGTTATTCTGACCATGAAATCATCCTCATTCTACTTTGAGTTAAAACAAACAACCTGCAACCAGATGCGCCGGTGTTCTGGTTTAACGTTAACGAGTGACCGCGTGAACTGAACCGGAACACGGGGGGGCTGCATGTTTCATCACGTTACGTTTTTTCCTCCTAAATCGTGATAATGACGAACGTTAACAGTCGACAAAGTGTCGCATGCAGTGGACGTTAACTTAACCCAGCAAGTCTGAACGGTAACGGGACATAACGGAACTTAAACTGTAACGGAGGGAAATGAAGACGCTGTACACATCTGAACGCTGATTGGCCAAGACTCCACACGTCAATGATGTTCTATTGTGAAGATCACGACGTCACCTTTTCTCCTCGTCTCACTCCAATCTGAGAAACGCTGGCTGGCCAGTTGATACTCTACGGATCTACACGATTCACGTGGATGATATATTTTGATTCAAAACGGCGAATTTCGCCGAAAAGCGACAAGTTTGCAGGTATGAATAAAGTTCTTGAAATAAAAAAATTCTGCATTTCCCCCTGCGCCCCACCTGCAATACCGCCGCGCCCCACTAGAGGGGCGCGCCCCACAGTTTGAGAACCACTGCTCTATATGAACATCATGCTGTATTGAAGAAGACTTGAAACTAGAGATTGAGACCATAAACTCATGTTTACAATGTTTACTGAGGTAATAAATCAAGAGAGAAGTAGAGTCATTTTCTCATAGACTTCTATACAACCAGAGGAGTCGCCCCCTGGTGGACACGAGAGAGAGAATTCAGCTTTAACACATGAAGCTTTGACTTTTGTAGTACATACTCGGTGTGTACTACATTAGCTTAAAGTACTTTAGTATACGAGTATGAGCCGTTGTATTGATAGATGTACTAATAGTCATATTGATCGATAGATCTGTCTGGAATTCAGTTTGTCCCCAAAGTAACTTATTTTGATTCATAATATTAAATCATAATGTATTAGTTGATGTAACTAAAGTAGCTAAATCTTATAAGAATAAACCTGTCTGATGCTGATCAATTGTATACATCAAATAAAATACTGACAACAAACCAGAACAAAAATAAACACGATAAACGCAGGAATACAGTGCCTTTAAACGCAGGAATACAGTGCCTTTAAACGCATG